TCCCAGACAGGCAGCCCTCAGGCCTCGCTGTGGCCCCTGAGCCCCACCCTCAGCTCTTGCTGAGCCCCAGCTTGGACAGTCCCGCTCCCCACCCAAACCCGGAGCTCCCTGAAAACCCACTGAGGCGGCTGCTGGTGCCGGAGGAAGAGTGGGAGTTCGAGGTGACAGCCTTCTACCGGGGCCGCCAAGTCTTCCAGCAGACCATCTCGTGCCCAGGGGGCCTGCGGCTGGTGGGGTCTGAAGCAGTAGACAGGATGCTCCCTGGGCAGCCAATAACACTGCCAGACCCTGGGCTGTCCCTGACAGACAGGGGAGTGAGGGGCTACGTGAGGCGTGTGCTGAGCTGCCTGGGGGGGGGCCTGGCTCTACGGCGGGCCGGGCAGCGGCTCTGGGCCCAGCGACTGGGGCACTGCCACACGTACTGGGCCGTGGGCGAGGAGCTGCTCCCCAACAGCGGGCATGGGCCTGATGGTGAGGTCCCAAAGGACAAGGAAGGAGGCGTGTTCGACCTGGGGCCCTTCGTGGCAGATCTGATTACCTTCATCGAAGGAGGCAGATGCTCACCACGCTACACCCTCTGGTTCTGCATCGGAGAGCCATGGCCCCAGGACCAGCCATGGACCAAGAAGCTCGTGATGGTTAAGGTGGTTCCCACGTGCCTCAGGGCCCTGTTAGACATGGCCCGGTCAGGGGGCGCCTCCTCACTGGAGAACACCGTGGACCTGCACATTTCCAACAGCCACCCACTCTCCCTCACCTCCGACCAGTGCAAGGCCTACCTACAGGACCTGGTTGAGGACATGGATTTCTAGGTCCCTGGGGCAGCCTGAGCCCTTGATCCTCACGGGTGCAGGCCCCTAACACTCATCCTTGACCAATAAACTGGTTCCTACTGTGGTCAAAAAAAAAAAAAAAAAAAATAGGTATGACATGTTGTGCTGAGCAGCCTCTAGAAATGCCCACCTCTTGCTATTCATGTGCTTGCATCACTCCCTCCCCTTGAGTGTTGACTAATCAAGACCAGTTGCTTGTTTCTAACCAATAGAATATGGCAAAAGCATTAATTTATAATATGGAAATAGGTAACTAATACATATGTATATAAAATTTAAATTGAAAAAAAGACTCTACACTTATTGGCACAATGGGAAATGTGTTATATCTCTACAATGAAATGCAATACAGCAATCAAATGACATAAAAAATGTTGGAGCTTAAGCAACAATATAGGTGACACAAACACAATATTGAACAGAAGAACAAGACACAGGATATATGCAAAAGGGGCCATTTCTATAAATTTCAAAACCTATGCCAACTTATGCTGTTTAGGGACTGTGTTCAGGAAAAATTGCAAGTAAGGAAAAATGACAATTATACGACCATTTAATATTGTGCCAGAGCTTCCAATGAGCCTAGCAAAAGTCTTCATGAATCTTATGTTTGTTCATTTTAGTAGGCACAACTTATTTGAGCCCAAATGTTTTACAAACCTGTTAATTTAGATGTTAATTTATAAAAACAGAGCGAAAATTGATAATCATGATTTATTTTTTCTGTCTGGTAGAAAAGATAACCCTAAAAGTTATGCTTTTTTATTGCACATAAGTTATGTAGGGCATTATTTCATTTTATATCTAAGATAGCAATCTTATTTGTAACCATGACCATGTCAAAAATGAAACATTTTTGAGGTAAATTTTATCTAAAGAACTGTATTTACATGTTGGAAATTATAGTGACAAAGTCCATTCAGTGAAGTAAATTGGGACCTGATTTATGATGTCTCATCTTTACAAAGAAAGAATGTTGCTCCCTGGAAGTCCAGAAACATTGGTAAATTTTGGTAATCTCAGTTTCACGTGCTGTAAGTGAACCCTAATGACTGTGACTTGAATGGTTCTTGATCCTGACCTCAGAATGAAAGAGCTGATATTGATCATAGGAATATTTCTGGCATGACAGAAATGTTAGAAAAAAGCAAACCAAAACCAAAAAACAAACAAACAAACAAAAAAACAGTAGTCGAAGCTTTACAAAACTTCTAGGTAGAAGCTAATTCTCCTACCTAAATATCATATCACTCTAAGGAATTTTAGGTTTGTTAATTAACATTTCCAACTACATTTGGGAAAATGAATCAAGACACCTGGGTAGAAAACACACAATAGAGAAGCATAGCTCCAGGGAGCAGCTGAACTATAATAGCTTATATTGCATAGTGATCTCCATGAAATTTTGCTTTTGAATATTTTCTCTATAGAAAAATAATTTAGAGAAATATTATAACATGAGTGATTTTAGAAATTTTTTGGTAATTTTCACTGTTCATGTATGCCATAAATTAAGCTTATATCTAACTTTCATTGCCTATAAAGACTGTAAAAAGCAATTGTCTAAACCAGAAATTGGCTGATGAAGTTAAATATCTTTTCATGTGTTTATTTGCCAACCATATGTCTTATTCAGTTATATGTCCATATATTTTGCCTATACTCTAATTACATTGTTTACTTTTTAATAGCTTTTGAGAATCTTTTATATGTATTTTAGATATGAGTCCTTTTTCAGTTTTGTGGTTTGTAAATATTTCTCCTAGTCCATATTAAAGGGCATTTTGCAGAGAAAAATATTTCATTTTGATGAAGTCCAATTTACCAAGTTTTTATTTTATAGATCATCTTTTTTGGTGTCATGTCTAAAAATGCTTCACGAATCCCTATATCCCGAAAACATTTCTTCTGTTTCCTTCTAAAAGTTTGGTAGTTTTACATTTTATATTTAAATCTATTTGAGTTGATTTTTATAGCAATTGTGTGGTTTGGAATGAAGTTCATTATTTTTGGCTATGGCTATCTGCTATAATCTGAATGTTTGTGTTTCCTCCAAAATTGATATGTTGAAACCTAATTACCAAGGTAAAGATATTAGAAGGTAGGGCCTTTAGGAGATGATTAGGTCTTGAGGGCTCCACCGTGATGAATTAATGTCCTTATAAAAGAGGCTAAATGAAGCCTCTTTGTCTTTAGACTGTGTGAGGACCCATAGAAGCTACTATCTATAATGAATGGGCCCTCACCAGACACTGAATTTACTGGCTCTTGGATCTTGGACTCCTTAGCCTCCAGAACTGTGAGCTATAAATGTCTACCCTTTATGTATTACCCAGTCTAAGGTGTTTTGTTATAGCAGCCCACACAGACTAAGAGCTTCAACACCATCCAGCACCGGATCACTTTTAGAATCTTGTCAAAAACCAGTTACCTGAACAGCCCAAATTTCTATCAGCTGATGAATGTATACACAAAATGTGGTATATTGATATAATAAAATATTATTTTACCATAAAATGAAACATTGATACATGCTACAGCATGGATGAAATTTGAAAACATTACGCTAAGTAAAAGAAGCCAGTCACAAAAGATCACTTTCCATTTATGTGAAAAGTCCAGAATAAGCAAATCTACAGAAATAGAAAGTAGATTAGTGATTGCTTAGAAGTGAAGGTAGGGGAAAGAGGAATGTGGGGTTGGAGTTAATGGGTACAATTTTCCTTTTTGAGGTGAATAAAATGTCCTAAAATTGATTGTGGTGACAGTTGCACATATCTGTGGAAATATACACTGTACTGTATATTTTAATGGGTGAATTGTTAATTATTGCACTACATCTCAAAAATCCTGTTAAAAAATCACTTGCAGATACTGGCATGAAGCCATTTCTGGCTATTCTATTCTTTTCTGTGAATCAAGCTGTCCATCTTTCCCACCACAAAGTCTTGATTACTGTAGCTGTATAATAAGTTTTGAAATCAGCTAGCATTTTTCCTCCCACTTTATTCTTTTCTAGAATTTTTACTATTTTACTTCCTTTGCCTATACATTTCAATTTCAGAATACTCTTATCTCTATGTCAAATAAAATAGTGCTGAGATTTTGTAGCAATTTTATCAAATTTGTATATCAACTTGGGAAGAATTGACATATTTACTTTAAATTTTCTAATCCATGAACATAGTAATTGTCTCTTTGTATTTAGATCCTCTTTATTTTTTTAATCAGCATTTTGTAGTTTTAATCACACAGCTTTTGTATATGTTTTCTTAGATTTATACCTATGAGTTTTATTTTTTGACCAATTGTACATGGTACCATACTTTTAATTTGTTTCCATGTGCTCATTGCTAGTATTATAGAAATAAAATAAATTTTTGTATATTAGTCTCATATCTTGTGAACTTAATGAATTCACTTATAGCTCTAGGAGTTTTCTGTAGATTCCTTAGGGATTTTTACAAAGACAATCACGTCATCTCTAAAAAGTATAGTTTTATTTCAACCTTTTTGATCTGCATGCATTTTCTTTTCTATTCTTGCCTTATCATCTATTTCTCTGGAAAACCCTATTAGTATCTATATATAGTAATTCAATTATCTCCCTCTCTCTCTCTTCCCTGCCCCCCGCAATCCTGACTGTTGTAATGCCACAAAGAAGTGAAGTTCCAAGAAGACAGCTTCTCAGTGTTTATTTCAGACAGCCATGTCTCCCATAGAAACACTTTCGTTCTATGCTTTATAGCCATGCCATGTGATCCAGATCTTTTCCCACACCAGATAAACTGGAAGTCAATTACAGGAACTCAGAGTTTCTGAACAGGGTTTCTTTATTTGAAGCAAAGGAAGATACTGAAGCTACAACAGTATTCAAAATTCATGAGAAATAGCCGCACCCAACATGGAGAGGGACCTGAATGGATTAAGTCTCATCTCTGGGTAACTGCTAAAAATATACTGCAAGAGAAAGTCCTGTAGAACTACAACTTACTGTTTTAAAGAAATAAATAATTTTTAAAACCAAGTTGCTTGCCCTTTGAGCAGAAATGTGTGATGGTCTAAGAGAACAGCACAGGTAGATTATTGGATAGGGCAGAGTAGAAAGTCAACTGGTGTTTCTCTTTTCAATTTTTTTTCTATTTGATGTTGGAGGCTAGCTTATAAATCAAAAGAACATCAATGACCCAGATCCTGAATGTTGCCATGGAGGCTGATATCCAAGCAGTGAGGAATTCAGTTGACACTCTTTAGATCTCCATCAATCTCTTCTTGAAGACCAGAAAATAGAATGGTGTTTAAAAAGACCCCAACAATCCTATTTCCTTCCCACGAGTACTTTCCCTTGCCTGTTTTTCCCTTTTCTGTTTTGTCTGCCTCCGCTTTCCAGTATCTTCCTGACAGGCTGCAATGAGGAAAGATATCGCTGAAGTTGATGACATGTGACATAAATGCACCTTTGGAGAAAGACCTATGTTTCCAAATATGGCTGCCCAGCCTTTCATAATACATAAGGGCGTAATACTTGCAGGGCATCAGCTGCATGTGCCAAGTTTTGCCCCTAGACCAGAGACAAAAAGTAGCCCAAGGAAAGCTGAGAATATGGAGTTTAGCAATAAATAGAACATGCCAGAGCAAAAGTGTAGTGAGTAGTGGAAGCAGACAGTATCACAAAAGAAGGGTACAGGTGAATGACCTAGAAATTCCGAATAGCCTTTATAGCCAGGTGTTGGCTAGGGAAAGGTTAATCATGCATGATAGTAGCCATCTATTTTAAGGTCCAAGGATATTAATTTATCATTTTCGTATAATCTACCTATTTAACAACTTCATTGGAGTCTACCAACATTTATCCTGGATCAGAAAATGCTACACACACACACACACACACACACACACACACACACACGTATAAATCTATCTCTATCTTCCTCTCTACATATAACATGTATGTGTGTAGTTACTTCATTTAAATGTATATAAAATATATATTATATATCTCAGAGAGAGAGAGAACTATATAGATATATGTATAATATGTATATATCCTTCATCCCTCTCATT